TAGAAAGTGTTTCATTTAGATAATTAGTGGCATTAAGATAATCAATTTTTTCAAGAGGATCATTTCTTCCAAGTGTCGCAATGTCATAAATCATTGCTTTATTACAAAGATTAACATCATATGATAATAAGACCTGAATTGAAAAGAAAATTCTGAAATTAAACTTGGACTTATTTGCTAAAGTACATCATGCAATAAATGGCTTACCACAGACTTTTCTAAGTCACGAATCTGTAAACAAGTCTGTAGAATTTCATCATCCGGACAGTCAATGGAAAATTTTTCTTTATTTTTTGCAACATCTTCCGGTGTCTGACCAATTATACGAGATTGTTTAGAAGAAAAAAGCTTATTAATGTAATTTACAGCTTTTCTGGCTTTAACACATAACGTCACTGGTTTTGTTTTACCGTGATCACCTTTAATATAATCAAGTTCCTATGATAAAACATTTATTAAATTAAGAGATTCTACTAAGTAACAAAATAAGTAAAAAAAAAAAAAAAGATAAATTACTTACACGTATAACAGTCCACGGTACTACAATTATTGGTTGATCGTACGTTTTAAAAGAAGATTCTCTTGCTAACTCAATAGCTTCAATGTTTGACAAAAATACGTTTGTATCGACAACAATATACAATTGTTTTTTTTCGTGTTGCTCCGATAACAAGGGATACTTCAAAGCAGTACTAGGTACATTGCGTGGTATACTCGTACTATTTTCTGTACAAAGTTGCGTTCTAACAGTTTGGACCTAAATGATATAAGTATACTTTATATTATCTCAGAATGTTCACAATTTTACATAATTCACATAATCCTTGTTCATATATTATATATTACTTCAAATGTAATTTTTTCATCTTCCAATGGTTCCCAATCCATTTCTTCATAAAAAGAATCGTCAGTAGACCGTTTTACCAAATCATCTATTGTTGTTAATGATTCTTCACGTGATTTTGATGTCTCTTCACGTTTATCAGTATATGAATTTTTATTAGTAGATACCTTATCCTTTAAAAGTCTCTCTTTCAAACGTATCAATCTAACTTCTGCATTTTTATGAATGCAAGGTAACTTTCCTATTATAATTATTTAGAAAATTAAATACTAAAAACAGATTTCATAAGAAGATATATTATTATATTTACCAGGAGTATTCTGACTTAGACTTTCATCATTGTCACTTATTAATGTTAGACTTTCCCTTAATTTTTCCATGCGCTTCTTTCCTATATTTTTCTTCAAAGACTTTCGGCCTCGTTTCATTGACACACCTTGCAGTGAATCGGATTCTTCATTCTTCCTTTTACCTGTTAAACTCCTTTCTGTCACAGCTGTAATATAAAACAATTTAAACTAATATTTTATTTGTACTTTTTAGCAGTGCAAGTAAAAAAGGATAAAAAAATGAAATAAAATTTCTTCAATCTACTGACCAACTTTTGGACTTTTTTGGTTTTGTTCTTCCTTCTTGTTTCTGCTTTCTATAGAAGGTGAAATCTCTGAAATATCTTTTTTATTACTTGTACTTTTCTTTCTTAATCGTGAATTAATTTGTTCTTCTTGTTTCCCATCTTTGTTCTCCTCCACTTTTTTCATTTTAGAATTTTTTGAATTTTTTACTTCCATTTTTTCTAAAAGTACTTGCATCTGTGGTGTACAAATAATTTTCGAACTTGTAGCGACATCAGATTTCTGTGCCAATGAATTAGTCTTATCAGACTTTGAATGTGATGATTTATTAACATCCTTAGATAATTTAGGACTCTCAGTTTTAGGACTATTCTTTTCCTTCTTCTTTAATATTTTTTCACGAATAGCTTTCATTTGTGGTGTTTCTTTTTCCTCATTAACTTTCTCTTTTGTCTGTCGAAGAGATTTTCTGCCAACAGACTTCCTCCTTGCTCCAATCTCTTTTTCAGATACATTATGTTCAGGAGTGGTAGGTTGAACTTCATTATCTTTGTCTGCTTGTATTGACTTCTTATATCTTCTGGAAGATCCTCCTGACTTCTTCATAATGTAAACAATAAAATTGTTTTGGTATTATTTTATGTTCAGTATATGAATTATTACGAGACTAGTAGTTATAGCAAAATGATTAATGACAAGCATTACTTAAAAATATGTCGAAATAAATAATGAAAATATTCTATTTAGGTTAAGCAGCACAAAATTTAAAATGCACCAGCAAAATAAATGAATAAAATGTTATATTATTATTGATATTGGTAATTAAAAAATTTGTAAATACTTGTTCTGTGCCATCCGTCGTAGGTTCCTCCCAAGAAGATTGTTTTGTTTTGATATTAAAATAATATACCCTATCGGGATGTGTTTTCGAATTTAAAACAATCCAATTCTTTGGCAACTTATGCTTCATCATGATTCAAACAAACAAACTTTAATTCCAAACAAAGTCAATATGGTTTTAAGAAATACAAAGTTTTTACTACGTATCATTACATTTCTCAGAAAGTTTGACGACACAAGTAGCGATTGATCATAAACAAAATATGAAGTTAATCGTGTGTTCTAAAATGATGAGTTTTAGAATAGACATAGAAATTGTCTATTTAACTGATTTTATTCAATTGTGAAATATTAAAAATTTATTTTCCAGACAAACTAAAAAAGTAGTTATATTTACTCATTCCATGTATACTCTCATTTTTAAATAAGAAATTTAACCGCGTAGGGAATTTTAACGTTATCATTTTGCTTCACCTATATAACTATTGAAAATCTTAGAAATGTGTCTTTCCCCTTTATGACAAGCTGTCTCGCCAAATAAGTTTTTCTTCTACCATTATGTAAAGTATCCGCGATCACAGACGATTTGTAGATGTTCGAACAAAAGCTTGATGAACCATACTAATTTAAGTGTTTGCTAAACGTACAACTTTGTAAAAATACCATAAAGTATTTTACTTTTACTACGTGATTCATCAACCATATACTGTTAGTATATTCAGTGCAAACAATGTCAAACGAACCCCAAGACGTTGATAATTCATTAACAGAACAATTTTCTGTCAATGTCGACGATAGTTTATTATTTTTCTCAACTATAGATGATGCCACAAAAGAATGGCTAAAATCCTTGAAGCATATATGGCAATTATGTAAGTACAAGTTATATTATGATAATAACAAAATTGAAATTTTTGGTTAATCATATATCATATTTCTGCAGGGAAAAAGTGTGATGGCATAAGCAAAACATTGACAGATTATTTTGAGAGTCTACCTAATCCATATTTAAGCACATTACAATTACTTCTAAACACTGGAGATTTTCAGCATATGAAAGCAAACTCATCATTGGCTTTCACAGGTTCATTCTTTTAAATTTATATGAAATATATTAATCTTAATAGTTATAGGATATAACATAATTAAATTATATTTATTGCTATGTGAAAATGTATTAAATTTAATTCAGATAAAATATATTGTTGACATTTCTTAAATTTACAATTCTTATATTATTATCAAAATCTTTATAAAGATTCTATGAGATTATTAATTGTATTAATATGTTTTTATGAATTACAGTCATAGAAGAGTTTGCAAAATGGATGGAAGTACGGAAGGAGATATACAAACATTTTCTAGTTGTAGATTTAAAAATAGCAGCATTTCGATTAATCATTAAACAAAACAACATGAAATTTATTAAAATGGTTGCAGTTACATATGATTTCATAGAGGACAAAGAAGAATTTCTATCTATAATTACGGTATAACTTTGCAATAAGCATTGCAATACTTATATTTCAAATTATGACATGTTTTTTTTACAGAAAATGATTGAAGAAAAAAAATACAAAGAAGCAGCACAGTATGCAGTTATATTGGAATTACAAGATTACTTTCCAGATCCAGAAACATTAATGTTACCACTTATTCTGCAGAATAAATTAACTGTTGTAACTGAATTTTTATCAGTATGTCCACAAATGCAAAAAACTTTAGTCACATATTTAGATAATTTAATTGGACCTGATACTATTATGTCCAACCTACTGAATAAAATAATTCTGTAAGTTTCAACAATTTAGTAAACAAAAAAGTATTAAGCATAATAATATTCTTAATATATTATAGAAAAAATAATATACCAGATATAAAAATACCAACATCACAAACACGACCAATGATTAAATTAATAGCACGCTTAGTCAAATTATATAATCTTCCACCACAATGTTGTCCAAATTTAAATAAAAAACGATGTGAAGGTGCTTTACAATTCCTTATACATAAACGTTATGTGGATTGTAGTTTAAGTATGTCCAGTTTTTAAATAGTTTAAATCATAAAATAGTACAAACAAAATATTAATCATTTTTAAACCAAGGTACTGCTAGTTGGAGAGAAATGGTACAAGATGCAGTGGGAGATTGTGAAGCATTACAATTTGGTATTATAAGAATGTTAATTAATGCCAAAGATGCAAGTGAAGGTTTATATTGGGCTAAAAAATTTAATATACCTAAAAAACAGTGGCCATGGTCACTTTCATATGAAGAAGAACAAAATGAAAATGAAGGTAATAATTGTTCTTTTGTATCATTTTCTTAATTACATTAGTTATTTTGTAAAATTTCATTATACAGGGGTAAATGAAGGTGCTTCAACTAGCAAGATGTATGATAGGGAAGGCAGTGATGATTCCATGAATTATCATGAATTCAGATTATCAAAAGATTCCATTAAAGTAGTAGATAATCTTCGTAGTTTTGAAGAATTTCTTGATACTGGTTTAAAAGGAGTTTCGATTGTTGGTATTGATTCAGAATGGAAACCATGTTTTGGTAATATTTTAAGTTTATAAGTAATCTTTTTCACTGTACTGTAATCAAAAATAATCAAGAAATTGATATTAATTATCAGGTACAAAACAGACAGAATTAGCTTTAATACAAATAGCTACAAAAACTAATGTATACATCTTAGATGTTACTACAATAGGAAACGAATTATCAGAATTATGGACTGAGTTGGTCTTAACTCTATTTGAAAACAAAAATATTTTAAAACTCGGTAAATATAGCTTAAACAAAAATCATGCTGTATAATATACATTTAAATGACATAAGAATTAAATTAATTCAGAATGTAATCTATATACATTTTTAAACACGTACAATACAGGATTTGGAATAGCTCAAGATATAACGGTCATCCGCGGTAGTATACCTGCACTATCAGAAATAAAAACATGTGGGCAAGGGTATTTAGATATAACACATTTATGGCAGAAATTGGTGGATGATTATCAGTTTATATTTCCACATGAAAGTGATGATCAATTAACCAAGAAAAATTTGAGTAAGCTTGTAGAGCTTTGCCTTGGGCAAAAACTAAATAAATCTGATCAGTTTTCTAATTGGGAGCAAAGACCGCTAAGAGAAAGTCAAATAACATATGCAGGTGCTTTAGACGCGTATTGTTTGCTGGAAGTATATGTAGCTTTAGAAGCTCAATGTGAACACTTGGATATACCATTTCACGATATTTGTTTTGAAATCCAACATATCCCGCATCATTCACCCAAAAAAAATATTAAAAAACCTGTAGAAAAGGTAAGCGTTTGTATGATTAATACATAACCTGTTTACATACTATTTAGATAATTTTGTAAACATTTTATTACAGCCATGTGCAATTAAAAATAAAGATTTGAATCCCACTAAGCAACATAATTACACAAGAAAATTACCGCCAAGATTTCAAAAACCGCAGCATGAAAATGGACAATATTTTAATAAATTGCAACAATCAATAAGACCAACATATTCAAATGAACCACTTTACGAAAATACGTTGAAACATGTAAAAAACAGCAATTATAAAAGTAGAACTCAAGAAACCAGTCAACAAATGATTAAACAGAAATACACGCCAGCACATAATTGGCGCGTCGTTTGTGATGCAATGTTAGGTGGACTAACCAGCAAATTACGAATATATGGTTGTGATTGTATTCATATTGCATTAGATCAAGGTGGAGAAAGATCTGTTAAATTAGCAATGCATGAAAATAGGGTACTTTTAACTCGTAACAAAGGATATTTAAGAGTAAGTATATGACCTTAATTCATGTAAATAGTATGATGAACAATTACGTTACTAATATCTAATTATGTTATACAGTTTTTTCAATACCTACAACCAGGGAACTGTTATCTAGTTTCAGCTGATACCGCTGAAGATCAATTACGAGAAGTGATAAATCACTTCGGAATTGTAATTACACAAAGAGATATTTTTAGTCGATGCCAAGCTTGTAACAGTGACGAATTTACAAAAGTTCCAAAAGTATTAATGGACAAACTGATACAGAGGTTTGTTAGAAATTCTTTCTTTTTGAAATTGTTATTTAATATGAAAATAATGTTAATTATATTCGTATAATTTTGTAGCTACCTTAAACTAATACGTAAAGATAATTATCGAATACCTTCAAACACGTTGAACCTCATCAGTAGTATACATCGTTCAGGAGTAACAGTATCAAATTCGAACGATAATCATTTGCAACATTGTAATTTTGTAAATAATGATGTGCAATTTGAAGATCGTACATGGGTACTAAGCACGAATTTTGTGAATATTGATACATGTTCAACTAAATACCATGCAAGAGTACAAATTGATAAAGTACCGGTAAACGTACTAAAAAATGTACAACTTTTTTATGTTTGTGAACAATGTGGAAAGATATATTGGAATGGAACACATTTAGAACGTACACTCAATGGTGTTATCAAAGATCTTATTATTCATGTGTGAGCTTTTATTACGATTACATGTGATATAGTGTCAAAGCAGTACTCAAAGACTATGAAAGCACAAATCAAAAGTGTTTTTATTTATTTAACTTTGAGTCAATGACAACTGTTCCTATAATGTACGGCGTTAATAACAAACATATTATGTTTACATTACTATATCAAGTTTAAGACATTTTCTAATACCCGTAAAGATGTATAATCTTACAAAAAGTTGTCTGTTTTTTCATTTTTACTGTTATTAATTAATACTTATATTCTGTTTTGAAAAATTAGTATTTTATCAATAAACCGAGCACATAAGTTTTAATACAGCGTCGAAAATTTGTTGTATATTATATAAGGTATACTTTATACTCATTTTCATTATTTATGAAAAGCATCATATTGTGAACAGTGAAAATACAACAAAAGTATTCTTGTTTAAATATCTATTCACGTATATACATTTTTGTTACATTTTTTAAGCATATTTAAATAAAAATATTACCTTTTGTTTCTGATAAAATTCATTCTATTGATACATTAAACATATTACATATGGAAATAAATATGTATATGACAAAATTTCTCCTATTTACAGCAGTAAAGATTTTAAGTATTGAAAAAATAATCTTTTATAGTAAACTAAAATAACTGTTTTTGCAATTTTATGTTCCAATTCTCTCTGATCTTCCAAAAGTATTTATTGGTAAATCGTAGTTTATCGATGGTTCTGTTCTTTATAAAAGTAATCATTACATAGTTTTCAACAAAAGATTGTATTACCAAAATTGATGTAATAAAGCATATGTTAAAATCACTTCTTCTATTATCAATTAGTACAGTACAAATCTTTATTTAAAGTATCATACGTGTTATCAGTATTTATTTATTCCAAGTTTGCATTGAATTCCTCTAGTTTTGTAAGATCCTTTTTTCCAAATGGCGGAGGTCCAATTAATGCTTCTATATCTTTATATGTCAATGTTTCTTGTTTCAAAAGTGTTTCGGCCAACTATAAATTTAAGTAAAGAAAATATTATACAGATATTCGGTATCTAATATTTTCCATTTTTTAGGTATCTAATATTTTGTTTGTATTGTACATACTGTTATTAATTTATCTTTGTTATCTAACAATAACTTTTCTGTTCTTTTATATGCTTCTGTGATTATTCTTCGTACCTCTGCATCCATTAAACCTGCCAATTTCTTGCTATACGGTTTTTTGGTTTTCTAGTTGATAAATTCAATTAGAAACGTAAATCAAGAATATATTATCATTGCAATAAGCTACAAATGCATATGTCACCTTACCGTGCTTGTTAATTCTTTGTCGAAAGAAATTAAACCTATACTAGGACTCATTCCAAATTGTTGAACTTGATGATACGCTATTTCCGTTACCTTTTTTAAATCAGTTTGTGCTCTACTTGAAATTTTGTTAAAAATTATATTTTCGGCAACTCTGCCACCTAACAGCACACACATACGTTCAAAAAGATGTTCGGAACTTTGTAGTTTTAGATTTGTATCGGAATACTGAGCAAAACCTAAACGTTTGTTTGTTCTTGGTACCACTGTTACTTTAATTAAAGGATTTACATGTTCCAATAACCATGCTGCTAATGCGTGACCTGCTTCATGGTAAACAACGACCTTCTTTTCAGATGGTGTTAATGTACTAGATTTTTTTACTGTGCCACCTAATACTTTATCAATTGAATACATAAGATCATCGTTATAGACTTTAACCTTTGCTTCACTTGCTGCGTGTAATGCAGCCTCGTTACAGACATTTGCTATTTCTGCACCTGTAACAATATCGTTTAAAATAAAAATATGAAAAATGGAAATTGCATTAATGATGAATGTATACATACCACTGAAACCTGGAGTTAGATGGGCTAAATAGGTAGCATATTGCATTGGTTTACCTTCCAATGCCAATGAGTGAAGATGATATTCAAAAATTTGTATTCTCTCTTCTAAGGTTGGAAGATCGATCACAATATGTCTGTCAAATCTACCACGTCTTAGTAAAGCTTTGTCTAGAACGTCTGGCCTGTTTGTTGAAGCTAAAATAATAATATCTTGTGCCGTTGTCATTCCGTCCATTTCTACTAAAAGTTGATTTAATGTTCGATCAGATTCGCTATTAGCAGTTTGAGCAAATGATTCTGATCGTTTTTTCCCTATTGCATCAATTTCATCTATATAAATGATGCTAGGAGCTCTACAAAAATAGATAATATAAGAATAAATTAAAGTGTGCTTATGACAATATTATCTTCTTTGCACAATATAAGAAAATGGTGAAACCTTTTCCTAGCTTCTGCAAATAAATTCCTCACACGTGCAGCACCTAATCCACCTACTACTTCAATGAATTCAGATCCATTCATTGATAAAAATGGGACATTTGACTCAGTTGCAACAGCTTTAGCTAGAAGTGTTTTACCACATCCTGGTGGACCCAAGAGTAAAGCTCCTGGAAGTAATTAGAACAAATTATAGTTAAAACATTCCAAAAGATGCTTTGAAAAATATGAAATTGAAAATTTTTAAATACCTTTGGGTACCTTAGCTCCAAGCTTCTTGTATCGTTCAGGGTTTTTGAGATAATCAACAAATTCCATAACTTCTACTTTGGCTTCCTGCAATCCAGCCACATCTTTAAAACGAACACCTTTACCAGAAAAGGGATTTACTAATGTAAATTTTGCTTTGCTTATGTCACCAAAAGCATTAAACACATTTCTATTCTTTGGGTTGCGGAAATACATATAAGCTATAATAGCTATTGTCGTTAAGTAAAAAAGGTTGGTAGCAAGGATATTCCTGTCCATCTTAATATAATCAATGCGTACTCCATCCTCTAAAAATTATTTACTAAGCATCAGTATAAAAGTAAAATTAACTTATAGTGTGATATAGAAAGACATTTGATATTCATACCCATTCGAATACCCATATCTTTTTCTATTGCCCTGATTTTTTTCTCAATTTCCATAAAATCAGGAGAGTTGGAAATATGAATGTATGGATTTAGCCACCTGTCTTTAAACGTAGCACCTGATTTCAAATTCACTTTTATCATCCGTTCACTAATCACAATTGATTTAACTTGTCCTTTTAAAAGTATTTCATTTACAAATTGATCCCAAGTTACGACGCTAATTTGCTATAAATTCATTAAAATTCTGCAAATAAATTCTATACAGTAACAATTATTTACCTATAAAAACTTACCGTCGCCGCATATAAGTTAGCCGTCTGAATTAGTGCGAAAATGAAAAACATAGATATAACTGCTTTTAGAACCAACATTTCTAACACTTTAGGTCTTTTACCATCCTTATTAGATCTATTAGAAGATTCTTGGTAGGTGGTAGAAGTTGAACTAAAACTTCTTGTATTACACAACTTTGGAAAGTAATGAATTCTAAAAATCTCATTTCTTGAAAATAAGGGTTGTATTCCATTTAATTCCTTATGTCTTTTTACGTAAAACTAAAATAAGTATTCACATAATTATTCTATAAAATCAGTGTAAAAATAAATACTTACTCCTTGTAATAATGGAAAACATAACCTACTCCCACTATTATTAAAGTTAATATGTGTGGACATAGTGTTAAATATTCCATGTTTTCTTGAATTATACTTAAATAAAGATGTAATAAGTTTGCCTAAAATGACATGATGTCGTTTCGAACATATAAAATGTTGCATGGTTAACCATGCAATTCGAAATCACACTAACACCAATAACAGTTGCGGCTAAAAATTCATTGTTGAGTGATTTATATAGTACAAATATTGACAAAGAGCCAAATATTTAATATAACAAACAGCGCTTAATTATCATTTATTCTTACTGTTTAAAATCATTTAACTAATAACATCACAAAATACCTTATCAATCAGAAAGAAAGATATACAAAGAAGGTTTGTACATTTTGTTTGGATTTTATTGGTTAATTTTATTAATAAACTTGGTTTATTTAAATGTAATTACAATGACGCAGTAATATAAAAATATTCTAACCAATAAGAAAGAATTGGTACTATTTAATAGGAAATGCTATGCATATAATAATTAGAAAAGACCGCTAGTACAACTTCAAAATTACAATTCTGATAACGGCGTAATTTCGTATGTACATCAAGTAACTGATAATTAACAAAGAATTTAAACAACAATAAAACAATAAGTAATTAAAATAAAAATTATGCAATTTTTGTCAAAAAAATTAAATATCGATATTTTTAATAGAAAAAAGAAATAAATAGTGGCGACATCTCCCAAAAAATTTGTATAATCAAGTCGATAATTTATCAACGATTGGTAATGTTCATATAAAATATTTTAATTCTTGAATTGTTTCATAAAAGCTCGTTGCATTGCGCTTGCATCAATTATACTACTTAATTCGCTAAACAATTTTTCGAAACAGATATAACATCAATTTTTATTCCATGTAATAAAAGACCTTGTGCAGAGGATTAGTTCTTACGTATAATTTATTTAATTTATTAATTTAAATACGTTCTAGGTTTATTCAAAATTTGAACATTGCACATTATAGAAGTGTATATGTACATTAACAGATATTCATCATTTGATTGTTTGAAAAATTATAATATTCTTGAAAGTATTTGGTAAAATCAATCGTGATGTATTAACTCACATAGGAAATAGGCGATATGTAGAAAAATTTATCGTAATCACGGAATATAAAAGAGTAAGCTGTGAGAGGAGAAAAATAGAAAGGGAATGAAAGAGAAAGAAAGAAAGAGCGTATGGAAAGGAGGATGGTGGAAGCTGGTTGAATATTTTTACCCAAGCCTGTTAACTACACTCTGTTATTTTATCTCACGTACGCAGTTTTTCCACCACTACCACGCCGTTACGCAGGAATATAAGTTTTAAGGCGTGTTTTGATAGCGTCAGGGTGTGTCAGCTGGGGCTTCCTACCTAATGGATCACTTCTTCGTTTATTCGTTCATACTTTTTGAAGTATATGACCCCATGATACCGCGAACACTCCGATAATTTTAATAATATCGTAATTATTTGTAGATTTCGTTGCAAAGATACGATTAAGAAATAAATATGAACATATTATCTCAATGTAACTATATCTCTCTCTTTATTTAAACAAAAATTATGATCTACGGTTACTTTAATCTTTTTTCACATTTAACTGTACAATTTCAGTAACACGATTTACGTTGCTACCACTAATCGCAATGTAATTATTAGTTGTACGCACAATATTATTACAGAATTTAAAAAAAGAAACTGTATGTTTTGCCACTATAGAAATTTAATTAATTTATTAAGTTACCATATGTATGTTACGAAATGTCTAAATACCTGTGATCAGTTTCACCGAAATTCTTGATGACAAAGTGATGACAATTAGAATTCTATCGCTTAAAAGGTGTGAAAAGGAGAAGATAAAAGTGGTTCATCGCGGACGCATATTTACGTAAAACAATATTTTCGTTGGCTTTAAGAAGGTGGCGACAGATACCTCCCCTCTCCATCTCTTTCTCTTCCTACATACTGCAGTACATAGTACACGAAAGATACGTGAAGACACCATCAATCGCCGGCTTCGCATTTCATGTCTGACATTCATCAAAAAATTCACAATGATTTTTAACTTTAATTTTTATTTTTATTTTGTTAACGAACATATGGAAACCAGGCTTAAGTAAAAAGATCTTGCCAATGGTAAGTGTTTTAAGACACGTTTCCAAAGATTACCTGGATCTCAATTTCCTCATTGTTACGGATGTCTTCTGGAACACGTGATTAAGGACAATAAGGTGCAGGTCGGTAATACAGTTAATGTTTCTGCCACGAATAAATAAACCGAATTGAACAATTTATTTTCTTACACTATTTAAGTTCTAAACAGCCTGCTATTTTTTATACGAGCCTTGAAATGTAATGAGAATGGCTGAAATAGATAAAATGGATGAGAGAGTAAAGGACAGAGTAGGTATCGTATACCATAACTCGGTGAGGTGGCGACAAAATCAATTGATTTGTTAAATAACAAACCGTGTTGTGCTAGGTTTGCTATAATAACCAAACAATGTTACGGTTCGTAGCCAGTGTACAATTCGGTTCATTCAAGCTTCCCCCGCTCTATGCTACATCCAATTCATTCATGCATTTCGTATCCAAGGGTACTAAAAGAATTAGATATTGTTTTAAATACTTTATTCAGATATCAAAATATTTCTTGCTTAAACATTCTTTTCTGTCCCCTTCAATTTCAACAAATCACCTTCATTTCGGCCAAATAATTTTTTTCCCGAAGTTATCGTCGCTAGTGATCCTCCTTTACGATTAACGATCTCGTATGTACGTAGTTAATCACAGTCGATCGGACTTCCAGAAATTCATCTCACGTAGCGTTCACATAGCAGCGCACGTAGAGGGAGAGCCGCAAGAACGGACGTTGTTATTACAGATGCCACTCGTTCAGGATCTCGGGGTATATTTCAAGCACAAAGAAGCCTACTTCCAATCCGGAAGAGTGACGCCTAATTTTCGGGATCGCGAGTTCATAGTTTTCCAAAGAATGGTCAAGGTAACTGTACTACCGACCAGGCAGCGATTGTTCTGAAAAATCGTACATCAGCGAGTAGTACATACACGTTTCCATAACCTATATCGAACATTCTCATAATACCCGAAAATTTCACTCCACCACCTATCATCACCATTATTAGTACAATAAATTCGAATGACGTAATCTTTAACATTTATCGATTTCACAATACGATCGATGAGCCACAGGATGTCGCCACCGATAACAATAGACCCACAGCCTGTGGCAAAATCCGACAAAGTAATAATTGCAACAAGAAGGTTAAGAATGTTTTCCATGTAGCTAGCAGAGAATGGGTCAATCTCAATGCATCTATACGTACATAGAACGGAAACCTCGTTGGAAATAGTGAATAGGGGAAAAGGAAGAGCAGAAGGTGGGAAACGAGAACAGCAGAATGAAAGGGGTGACTGGAAAAAGCGAGGGAAAACAGGAGACGGAGAAAGCAGAGAGAAATAAGAGGGGCGCGTGGGGAAGAAGGGAGAGGGAATTCGTACTGAAATAACATTGGATGACTGTGGCATTGTCAACTACGGTAGTCGCGCGTCTTCGCGTTTCTCTCTCTCTCTCTTTCTCTCTCTCTTTCTCCCCTGTTCGTCCCTATTCTCCCTGTTCCTCTCTGTCTCCGAAGAATTGTGTCTTTCCTCCTATCCTAGCTCGGTTTAGGCACTAGAACGTAGGTGCTCCTGGATATAATAGATGGAGCTGCCAGGAGGGATGAAACAACACCCCGTTTCTACTGGTTCTCCCCTTCCCCCTGTTCCCACCTTTCTTCAGCGTTAGCCGCCTTTTTCTCGTCCCTTTCCCACTCGCTGTCCTCCGCTATCCCGTTCCCTAAACGCGGCCAATAAAAACAACACCACGCTCCGGCACGAGAGCCACCGCAGCAAGGATCGAGGATACGGTGAATTATAAAAATAACAGTGCGAAAACGATCGAACAATCGGCCGATTCAGCGGTGCTCCTCTCGTTTCTGCGGCTGGGGAAAAATCCCCCCATTCACCAAGCCAGTGACAACTGTTTCCCTCGCCTCACCCAGTCCTTCGTGCGTGTTTGTCCTCTTATTGTGCGTAGACGGGCGACAATTACTGGAAAAAGAGCGTTGAATAAATAACGAGAACCGTTTCGACTTTTTCCGCTGGTGAAATCGAATAAGCTCGATCGATGGTCTATCGACGATAATTCTGAGAAATTTTTATCGTAGTAGATTTAGAAGAACAAGAGAAAAACCGCACGAAAACAGAAGAAAGGGAGAAGGCAACGTTGGTTATGGTGGTTAAAGCGCCCGATCAGTAATAACGCTGTTCTTGTGAATAATCTAATCGCACGTTCGAATCCTCCTGACTCTCAAAACCTACATTTTTTCCCGGATACAATTTTTCTCGAACCAAACTGGATTTCGTTAAGGCGGAAACGAATTTTCGTCGAATAGTCCAGCCTGAAATATAGTAGAAACTTTGAAGAGCCAAACGGTGCGAACCGTTCTTCTTCTGTCTTTCTGGTTCGCGTGCGCAAACTCTCTCGACTCCTTTCCCTTCTTTCGTTCGATGTTTTCCTTCTTTCCACCGGGCATTCCTCGGATTTTCTCCCGGTTTTCGCAGCGTTCTCTCCCCTGTTTCCCCTCCCCGAATTCCTCCTCCTCTCCCCAGCCTTTCCTCGGCGCTGCACGCGAGTACACGAACGCCTACTCGCCTCGGCGAAGTCAAAGAGAGATAAAATCTATAAATATGTGGGAGGCGCACGCGACCCATTCCAGTGTTTGTTCAACCAGGAATAACCTCCCGTTTCTTCATCGTACGCCGAACCCCGAGAAGAGGCTGGTTTTGTGGCTTGACGCAAGCCTAATCCAGGGTGATGCTTCGTTAACCACCTCCGGCGATACAACGTTGAAGATTTTCATCTCGAGGAGGAGCAGCAGCAAGCAAGCAACAGCGCAGCAACGTGTTACCTAACCTTCTCGTTGATCGAAGTTCGCGTTTTGCGGTATCGTCGTGAATCGACGCGTGTACAACGTGTCTGACGCGACCGGAAGCTTCAGTGAGACGTCATCGACGAGGGAACTTCTGAGGCGATGGGGAAATTCTTCGAATGGAACGTCGT